TTGCATTAATGTTAAACGAAATATTTATTTTTAGTATAATAAATTTTTGAAATTTTCGAATATTGTGAATATATTAAGCAACAGTATTGGATTAATATTTAGGCAAATTTTTGTTTGAAGTGCGCAATGGATCACGAACAGATTTGATGAAATGCAAATTAACGCAAATTGGAATGGAATATAGAGGCACAGTAGGAAAAACTAGTGGCAACGTACGATGTCAAGCTTGGTATACAGAAGAACCTATACACGAGGTTCCTTTTGTCTATTATTTATCTAAATTTCAATACTTTTTTTTTATTTTCATAGTTTTTCTTAATAAATTAAAATGTTTAAAATTTATTTTCATTTGTTAATATTAAACACTGAAGTTAACTTTGGGTATTAAGAATTGTTGGTATTTAACCTTTCGTGACCGAATTGTGTTTCAAAAGAATTTGATATTGATCTATAGATCAAATTTTATTCGAATACTATGATATTATACTCTTCTGTTGGATTTTATATTTTAATATTTAATGATCAGGTCAGTAAGGATATCAGTGACAAAGATTTTCCCGAGAGATCAATTAAAGCTGCGAAAAATTACTGCAGAAATCCTACAGGCGATAGCAAAGGTCCATGGTGTTACACCATGGAACCTTCACTCATAGACGATGTATGTGATATACCACTGTGTAATTTTGGTGGTAATATGTTTAAAAATTCAATTTTTTTTTTTAAATATTCCACTTTTCTGAATCTTTTGTATACGAAACTTATTTATGGTTGGATAGAGTGTAAACTATCAGGACAAGGAGCTGAGTATGGGGGTAGCAAAGATGTTAGTACAGTAGGAAGTAAGTGCAAGTCTTGGCATAAACGATATCAGCTTGTAGACTCAAAAGTAAGTGAAGTAATTTGTAACACTGGTTAATTAAACAGAATTTATAATTTTGGGGTGAAAATGTGTTAAACAAACTAGAAGATTTTTTGTTTATTCTTTGAGTATTAGATAGGCTATCAATAAAAATCTAAAAGTCTAGAAAATTAGTTTATAAAAATGTGTTAATTTTTCAAAGAATTTTCATTTCTAAAATACTCAGTTTGTCAATGTTTCTGTGAAATTTGCTTTTGATTTATTTAAGCAACATTTGTATAAAGATACGCTTAATAATTTAAGTTTATTTTGTAGAGCCCAAAATTCAGCGAAAGAAACTATCCAGACAGATCGCGTAAGAAAGCTGAAAATTTCTGTAGAAATCCTACAGGCGACATCGGAGGACCATGGTGCTACGTTGAAGACGAAAACTTTGAATATGTTCAGAAACAATATTGTGATGTTCCATTTTGCGACGATAGAGGTTTAATTTCTGCACCAAAATTTACAATTTTTTAAGTTTTATTCATTTCTATTGCTATATTATAAAAATTTCTATCGTTTAGATTGCTTAGCATTTACTAAGAACGCATCTAGTTATACTATTCTCACAAAATTACACGCTCCCAGTGGCAACGCTTCGTTTTGGATTAAATTGTGGAACCCTGATGACGAAAAGAAGGTACAAAGTTCCTAAAATTAGCTAAATATTTAAAATATAGACGCAAACAAAATTTCATAAAATATACGAATAATTTTCACTCACAACAAATGATTAACAGGGAGAAGCTAGCGTGTTACTTAGTCTTTTACCAATTCCCGCTTCCGCTGAAATAATAGCGGAAGAATGGACTGCAGGAGTTGAGCTGATGTTCGCTAATTATGGTAGTCGTCAAACGTTTCCGATATACGATGTTAGTAGCTTTTTTTTTTATTTTATTCTTAATATTGGTGTCCCACCAATTCTGCTCACCTCAAATATCTCCCTTATTTCAGAATAACAAGCAATTAACGTTATTATACTAAAATTTTAGGAAAAGTGATTCTTCCTTCACATGTTCACCAGTTTTATAAAACTCAATTTTTATTAATAACAAATAAAATTTTTCATATTTTGTTCCAATTGCAAGTCAAACATCGTCTAAAATAAAGCTTCGGAGTTGCGGCTGTAACTCCGCCATTTTGCAAAGAAATTAAACGAAAAAATACTTTTATATTCTTTAAGAGTAATATAATAAAGCCCTTATGAAAAATTTATAATTGAATCTATTATTGTTTCTCTTTAAAAAAATGTTCAGATATGTTTGTATTAGGAAGAAGAAACTGCTGAGAACACTCCTGAAATCTTAGTTGGTACAAAATGGACGGGGATATGGATAACATGGGGCGGCGGTTTTATTTCCGCCGGTATCGAAGGATCATCGAAACCTTTAATTATGCAAGAATATAAGAAAAAACGTGGAATTACGAGTTTATACCTAGAAACATTTCTGTATTATGGACTTCGAGGGACAAACATATTATGGAGCAGTTCTTTCTGTCACACTCGTAGGTTTTTAACTACTTGCTACCAACGAAACGTTAAATAATGTTAATAAAGCTAATTCTGTTATTACCCTGCTACGAATTTATACCGATGATCTATTTTTTCACAGAATATATCGACTGTCTTTTTCTCACAGATTTTTTATTTTCAGATTGCGAGGTGTATACAACTTTTGGAGTTGACTTCTCGAAAGTTTGGGCTACGCAGAAGAGTAACGAAACGAACGATGTTCGATTTTTCGTTCGTGCAAGCCAGAATATTCAGATACGTTTGTATCAAACACCTACGATAGAATATCCTTCTTTAACGGTAAATATTTTTATATCAGTGAAGTGATAAAAAAAAAATGTCTTCTATCCTCATTTAGAAAATAATTACAGTGTTTCAGATTTTGAGCATAAGATAAAATAGGTAGATTTATGTATCTCTGTTTTCTTTTTTTAATATGAATCTTGTCGATGTTTAAAAAATACAGAATTATCATTTTAATTACATGAAATAAATTTAATTTATGTTTAATATAGTTAACAATGGGCAAAGATAGTACAACGCTCGCGTACCAAGAAAGTGAAGGTTCCTCCAAGCACTATTTAAAAGAAATTTCGACTTCTGGATTGCTCGATTTTTGGTCGTGGAGAGAATTTAGTATCACGTTGGTATTTCGAATGTTAAAGTTTATTTTATTTTTATTTGTACTTTACAAGTAGCACTTTATGTTACAGCATTTTTGGAGGCCACTTTCGTTTATTTTCACAAAAATTTAGACGTGCTATCGAATTATTGTATATGTACGATAACTTTTTTGCTAGTTTGAGATGGTTTAGCATTGGAAGCGAAAACACTATAGCGCAATGGACGTTATTTTGTTCTCCAGAAGGTAATATTTCGATATTTAAATTTAGATACTATACAAAATTCAAGATTAATAATACATTTTTTAATACTATACCTGATAGTCCATTTGTGTTATTTTTTAAATAAACTTATGAAATATTTCACTATTTTGCAAGACAGCTTTAAAACGAAATTCACATTTAATAGTAGAGTAGAATATGCATATTTCATCTTCATACTTCAGTAAAGATACTTCGTAGATGTGGATGCTGTAGAAGATCCTTGGCCACCAAACTGTGTCTCTGATTTAAGAGACTTTCGATACAAAGGCACGCAGTGGACTAGTATTAATGAAGTTCCTTGTATTCCATGGATATCGAAACAAGTAAAAACACCACAAAATTAATCAGAAACCTAATCATGGTTTACATATACTCCCACCTTGCATCATTGCAAGGATGTATTCTTCATATAATCAGGATCTACATACGTTAAATTTTTCAAAAATGTCATTTGCTTCATTCATTTCTAATTTTTGAAGTAAATTTTTAATGCTATATTAATATTCCAATGAAATTTGTTATTCTGTTACATATCTTTTTTAATAAGATACCTGGCGAGGATAGAACCGATGAAAAATTTATCGATGGATCTGCTTTGAAGGCACTTAATAAATGTAGAAATCCAACTCACGACTCCAACGGCCTCTATTGCTATGCATACACTCCTTGGGAAAGTATTTCCTATTCGAAACGATATTGTTCAATTCGAAAGTGCAGATCATCGGGTAAACAAGAGTTATTACGCTGAAAATATAAATAAAATTAAAATAAAATATAAAAAAATGTAATATCATTTCGTTTCAATTTTTAGAATGTCGAATGGCTGGAACCGCAAATGATTACATAGGAACATTGTCGAAAACACGTTCGGGCCGTATCTGTGCTAAATGGCCAACTGGGCCTGAATCAAAATCAGTGACATCGATGCCCGCAACATCGGCTCGTACCATTAGGCCAACACGCGTGAAACCTCCGAAATTTGGCCCATACTACGGTTCCCAAAATCTTTTTGTGGCTAAGACAACAACCTCCATGTCACCCAAAGCTCCAATTGCCACAATTTCCAAAATTGATTCAACAATCGGTCGAGAATATTTCAATGATAGTTTATATTCAGAAGGTAGCGCCAAAAATGCTAGTAATTATTGCAGAAATCCTTCACGTAACATCGCTGGTACTTGGTGTTACACCACAGATAATTTGGTTCCTCGAGATATTTGCAACGTTAGGGATTGTGAAAAACCAGGTAAAGCAGGTTATTTTAAAGAGTAATCGTTTTAATTCTTGTATGAAAGTTGGATCAATTTGAGCCAAAACCAGGTCACGAACACTTCTTCTTCTGTTATTAAATGTATTTTTTGGATAATTTTCAGAAGAGTATACTTTTCTCGTTAAAGGAGATGGTTTAGGCAGACGTCTGTACATTTTACCTGAATATCGTTCCGAAGGTTTACATTTCTCTCTGAAAGCTTGGCAACCAGATGATCCAGATTCCGTTACGTTTGCTTTCCTAGCCGATGACGGCTTAAAATCGCGCTATATTCTTAAGATAGGAACTTTAGATAACGAAAGAGTGCTTCTTTTTTATCAATCAGAGACTTCAGGTATTTAACGTATCATATTTTATTATAAAAAAAAAATGAAGTTATGAAAAAAGAAAATAATAAATTAATTAATCTTCGCATTAAATATGAAATGAATATTTTTATCGTTAGAACTTTCGAATACAAGGTGCACGATGTATAAATTTTTATACGATATTTTTTATTATAATAGTTAAATATCTGCTTAATTATAGCTATTGCACTGGTGAAAGTGAAAACTTTTCCACATTTACTATACGTGGGGAAATGGAGTAGCTTCATAATTCGAATACCACGGGGACAATTTTTGCTTTACTATGAGGATGATCCCGCACCGCTATTTGAATGGACCCATTCAAATCCTCCTAATGCTTTCTTACCCATGTATTATTATTATGGTAGCGAAATGGGAAAAGCTGTTGGCTTCGCTTTTGATCACGATTCAAGTATGTTCATATATTATACAGTCAATCACAAAAGCTACGAGGGGAAACTAACTTATTTGACTGACCAAAATTATTACAAAATTATTAAAATTCTAAAAAAAAAAGTATTCATTCTAGAATCTCGAAATTTAACGAGTATGTGTATTTTTATTAATATATGACACTAAATTTAGCGAGAAAATATCATTAAAATCGTATAAACTTTCTACACCAACATAACGGGTGTCCTAATGTTTGTAGTTTTTTTTTTAAATTGACTGTATGCTTGAATAAGTGGTTTGTATACGAATAGATTGTCACATTGAAAACACGAAGACTGATCGCTATACTAGAATATTATCGTTATCAACATGGATTCAGAAAGAAGTGTTGTATCCCGAACAAGTGACTTTTCAGCTTCGAGGAAAAGGCGCAATTTCCATAGCCTTGTATTTAATGCCTGGAACTCCAGGGTAAATGTTGAAATTCCATAAACTATTCTGATCTCTTCTTTGTTTCTTAAATTTAATTTAATTTATTTTCTCAAAATATTTTAAATCGTACCATATCTTAACATCTACTTGAGGGAATCCTTGGTTTAGAGTGTTTGCGAAAAAATGCAATTATCATAAATTCAGAGAAAAGTAATAATCTTCAATAATTACTTTCAAGCAGATTTTTTGAGCTTAAACTTAATAAACCGAATCGTTGGATATCTTTTGTAAGAAATACGTATCCTTCCGTCACAGTTTTCCATAAACAAAGGGCACAAGTATCTTTATTTACAACAGATTCCTGGACCAATTTTACAATAAGGTAAATTTTTGAAATATCTGTAGTGTACATATTTTCCTTTTGCCTTCATTGTGTATGACTGTTAAAAAAAAGTGCTACAAGTGTTATAAAAATAAATAAATATTTCAAACAATTGTCAGAATTAACAATTAAAAGATTACAGATACTTTTACGATTTACCTATGTATCGTTAATTTTTTAACTTTGCAGATGGTCGGGGAATACCATCGACATTTATTCCAACACAACAAATATATTTCACTATAGACACGTTCGTCCTCTCGTATTCTACTTTTTCTCCATTGGCGTAGAATCTGGCAGTTGGGTTACTTGGTCCGCGAATTGTATACCAACAGGTAAAAAAAAGTACCGTATTTGTCTTTTGTTAGGTTAGGTTAGACCATATTACAAACTATGAATATACTGTTGCAAATACCGTATATAATCTCATGGCCTGCTGATGTTCGCTCTGGAATCCAGAAGACGATCAGTTCTTACTGACTAATACTGATCGATTTATTAGCCTTAGAGGAATTCAAGCAATCTTCGTATTTACTGTTGTGTGCTATACAGGGTGATTCACGAGAAACTGAACACTTCGTAGTGTAGTAACTGATGTCACGGTGAAAGTGTTAAGGAAATTGTTAAGGGATTAAAAATAATTGGAAAGTAGAGGTCGATAAAGATTTTGCTTGAAAGATATAGATGGACCACCAGTCGATGGCGGTTGGTCACACTGGGGACCGTGGGCGTGTAGTGCAAGCTGCAATGGTGGTACAGGAATTCGAAAACGGCGCTGTGATTCCCCGAAACCTAACGTCAAGGGAGAACCCTGCTTAGGACCGAGTACTATGACTGGACGTTGCAATGAAATTCTTTGTGGTGATATAACGGAAGGTACATTTCAAAAATGTAAAGAATTTATTATGTAAATACGTAATAGACGTTACAAAACAAAAATTGAATATTACGTAGGAAGAATTAAGTGAAAATTCTTTAGGTAAAAAAGAATTCATATGTTTGTCGTATTTTTAATAGACACAGTAAATTTAGTAAATCGAAGAATCCGGACTAATTACACAGCTCTTACTGTAAAAGAACAGCATTCTATTACAATTGAATCAGACTCTGATATTGTTAAACTAATTACTACGGAATCTCCCCATTCTGAATTACAATGGTCTCTAAATGGCGTTTTCGTGGAACAAGATGTTGGTAGAATAGACTTAAAAGATTATAATATCGGTAAGAAATAATTATTATTGTTATTTAGTAATTTGTAATTTTATTAGACTTTCAAAGGGTCAAAAGCGATCGTTTTTAAAAATTGCTCATTATTTAACATTAATTGCCATTTTTAAGTATTAAAACACGAGGTATCCCGTGATTAGACCATAATATATTAAAATCATCATTACTGTTGCATCGCAATCACAGAACGTGAGAAAAAGTATAGGTTGAACCAAGCAAACCTGAAGTTTCTAACGCGCATGCCTGTGCAAATGAGCGGAAAACATGCAGGCGTCCATCCCCACTATTCTATACAAACTGTCCCCCTTGAGGGGAAGTTTGGTGTAGATAAAAAAGTAGTTTTCAACCAGCCGTCGGTAATGTCACGCGCTGATAAAAGAATAAGAAAGTGAAAAGATTATCTGCAATATTCATGAAAAATAAAAATAGATTTCTGCGCTTTACAAAATTGCTTATAAATTCGGAAAATTATGAATTCTTATATTTTATAAATCTGTATGTTACTTTGAAGTCTTTCTATTAATTATTTCTTAAAATACACGAATATTATATATAAGATGTTCGATCACTTCTGGGAAAAAATTTAAGAAGTGATTCTACCCTATATTCGTTGACGTAGAGAGGATTGCTCGGCTACAGGGATATTTTTAAACGTTAATAATTAAAAAACGGAGCCTCTAACACAATTTTTTAATTCTTCATTTTTGTCTTATTTCAGTTTCTAGAATCACCCCTTAAATGTTTTTCCAGATGTGACTGAGCACAATGTATATTGTGCTTTTGTTCATAAATATGAAATATTCATTTTGCTAACCAGATATTTATTTAAAAGTAACCAATATCTATTATATTTATCTAGAAATAACTAAAGCCATTTTAAACGATTCTGGCGTCTACGCAATGACTCTTCGTCGAATCGATGGAACATATTCTATCATTAAGGTGGTTAGTTTGGCGGTGATTCCAGCAAGGGAGAATGTGCAGACAAGAGAAACGCTGAGCATGACCATACAGTGCCACTGTACAATTTTAGGACACGTTTATTCAGAGCTTCAAATATCCTGGTTACTACGCAATAAAACATGGAAAGATTATGGCGTCACACTACCAATTGCTGCCGATATTGAACACATTCCAAAAATTAACAAAACACACGGTGGAATTTGGCAATGCGTTATCAGTCAAAACGATTTAAGTTTCAAGTGGATAACGAATATGATTTATGTTAAAGGTAACTAATTTTTTATGCAAATATGCAACGTTACCATAAATTAGTCAATAATTTACGCAAGCAGTTTAAAATATTCCTAATTAAAAAAATAGTATGTGTAACACTGTTTTTACGGAGATATACTTTAATTCGTAGATTCTTTACAATTTGGTTTATTTTAGACAGTAATAAGATTTATGTTGCATTTAAGTTCTGGGTCCTCCAAATTGGCGTACGTACTTAATGGAAGATCAGGCAACGCGGTTTTTTTTTGGCTGGCTACCGAACGAAGAATATGTTGGCGTTTTCGCGTTAGTTCTTTCTCTTATTTTGCTTGCTGCTATTATTGGAGGATCTTATTACTGTATAAGGTACACGTTCATAAAAAAATTGGTTTTTATATTTTGCATGATTTTTCTACTCTTAATGAATTTTTTCTTTCCATGCTATGTTTATTGGAGATACTTGTGTTCGTACTAACTGTAATCACCAAATTCAACGATTTATGTTTCCTTAAGTTATTAGTCATCATTGCAACACGCTGCTTTATATTTTATAAATAACTTTCACTTAGTTTGTATTTAAATAATGATAAATTTTATTTATTTAAGAAATAGTAGAGTATAGAATTTCTTTTTTAATCAGATTTCGAGAAAGCACAAGAAACATCTTTGATCTGAAGAAATCAACCGAAAGCCCAACGAGCACCGAGTACGAGCCATTGACAGACGAAGTGACTACTGAAGATCCAGGTAAATTGTCACTTTCCAAAGGTACGATTCAACATTATTCGAAACTTTGAAGACTTACTTCGCAGTCTCTGCAAATATACATAAAAAATAATAAAAGTAAAAAAAGTAACAATTGTTTTATCCTAAATTTCTAGTACATTAATAAATAAGAAAATGTGCCATGCGATAACTTTCAAAATTCAAAAATTTACAAACATACTTTTATCTCATTCCGCGTACAGCACTTAATATCGATCGAAAAATCGAATACAACATAAAACCGCAATAAATATCGTTCAATTACCTGACGAGCACCCCAAAAGCATACCGAAAAGCAAAATTTCAAATCGTCTAAATTTCAAGACTCGACAAACACCCATTTATTTTCGGCAAAACCCTCTCGACAATGAAAAAGAAAACCAGAAACCTCCTTAGTAATCTCTAAGGAAAGCACAGACTAGAAGTCGGTCCTCGATCGATTTCGTAACTTTATTCTTCGTTGTGTTCCAGCGTTCCATCGTAACGAATGAATAAAGGAGAGAGGTTTTCAGGTGACGGGTAGAGGCGAGCGGCGAAAGAGAAACTCGTGAGAGAAGGAGATGAAACCGGCGGCGAAGCAAAGTGGAGAAGACGAGCTGCGTGTGCGTGGAACGAGGAAGAAGGAGAGACAGTAGTAGACGGGAGAGAAGAGAGTAAGGAAGAATGAGAAACTCGAATGTGTCGAAGCGAGAGAAGACGGCGTGGAATCAGGGAGGCAGCCTCGGCTGGTTGGCAGATCGCCGGTGCAGGCCCGAGGAAACGCGACGAAAGAAAGAAATAAGAGAGTCCAGAAGGCTGTTAGGTGGAAGAAATGGCGAGGAGCAGAGAGCGGCGGATAAAAGGATATGGTAGGGCGTGGAAGCGGGAAGAGATGGTAGGGACCTAGAAGAGGACGAACTGGAACCGCTTGGATGCTGGAAGGAGAAGGAAAGGGCACAGGGAGCGACAGGTGCCCAATCGCCCACGTGGGTTCTCTCTTTACGGTGCTGCAGCGATGGTAGAAGGGTGAAGAAGACGACGACGACGACGACGAGGACGACGAGGACGACGAGCCGGCTTCCTTGTACTGGTGAAGCAGCCGATACTCGTTCTATACACCAAGTGCACTCGCCACAAGATGAACATAGTGGGGCAAAGAGATCCATTGGCGTATAACTTCGCTTTCTTCGTCGTCTATCGTCGATGGCCGCCGAATCGATCGTTTTTCTTCGACTCGTCGTCGAAACCGTTCCGCCAATCTTGGGAAGATCGATCGTGCGAAAGAAGAACACAGGTCGAGGGATAGAGTATGAACGGTGAACGAGTGTTTCGGGAAGAGTTGTTAAAGCTGGAAGGTTCTAGGTGGAACGAAGAGGAACGACGACGAAGAGGTGGTGATCGGGAGAGGAGGCTACGCCATTGGAAAAAGTCTGCAGCGGGCCATGTACTGTGAGTGGGAAAAGAGGTAAAGAAGGGGAAGGGCTACCCATTCGGTAGCAAATGCTGGTAACCCGTCGCAAGGTCAAGATCAGTCGGTTAATCCTATCCAGTCAGCCGAGGCCCTTGCACCTTGGAGGACGAACGACCCTCACGCTCCCAACTAAAACTTCAACTTTGCGAATCCCGTAACCGTCGCACTTTGCTCGATTTGCTCCAATTTTCAAATTTTCCCGCTTGTCCGCCTCTTCCCTCCCTCTCCTTCCCCCCACGTCCCCCCTTTTTTCATCCCTCCTTACCCCCCTGGAGAATATATCAATAGATCGGCGTTCTCATCTAGATTAACTCGGGAGCGAACACGAAAACAACGTTCGATCGTTGAATACGGACAGTTTCGAGTGAGCTCCGTCACACAGTGTCTTTTGTATATGTTGTACCGAAAGGGATTCAAAGTGTACTCGTGTTTCTTCTCTTTTTTTTTTTTTTGTTCGTTGTATCTTCTCTTCCTCTTCTCTTCGACAACGTGTCTCGATTTTTTCAAACACTCGGGATCGATTCGAAATCTGAGAGACAACCTGGGCCGGCAATTATCCTTGGATCGTTCGAACGGCTGCTCGTTTCAACGGAGACAAAGCTGCTTCCGGTGGAAGATTTATCCCGGTGGAGAGAAAAGAGCGCACGTTGGACATTCGGTGGCTTTTTTTCTTCTTCGTCGGTTTGAGAGAAAAGGAGATCGAGGATATCTCTTGGTGGCACGGGAAAAGAAGTGTTTTTACAGTGGAGAGGACAACCGGCAGCCGTGACTTTTTTCCACCCAAAGCATCCCTTTGCGGGGCCACTGTTATGGAAACCTGCGTTCTGATACCAAAAGAATTTTCATTGGCACTCGCTAACGATCGATCCAGCTATAAGGGCCTCTTCAAGAATGATTCAGGCAGCTTAGTTACGGACGTCAGGATATCCGTATGGTCGAACGTACTTATTCCGGCAGGGACGTTGATCTACCCCTTTCAGGGCTCTATCCGATTCGACAAGATCGACCTTTATTCCCTCCTCGATGACAATGATGTAAGTAGCGGTTTCCACGTCAAATTTCTTTTCACACATTCTCTTTACTCTGATTTGCTGTTTGTTTGTTAAATATATCGCTTCTGGGTGTAAAGTGTGTCTGTGTGTGTTTTTCTTATTATTTTTTTGTTAATTTCCGGAAAGTTTCAACGAAGTGCTTGCTTACACGTGGAAAGTTGGAAGATGGTTTTAATACTGTGGACATTGAGTTACGTTAATGTGTCGAGTGGTTAGAAAAACTTGTACTGTAAAGTTTCCACCGAGTTTCCTTACTTTTTGTGTTCTATATATGTAGAAGATGATTAGACAGGATAATAGAGTATAATAGCCGAAGTTGTATAATTCTAGACAAACGTTCTCGTTCCAATCACTTCCTTTTCTGTGTTTCTGTTGCAATTAATTGT